GGTGGTGGTGGTCTGGGAGGTGGGGGATTAGGGGGATTTGGAGGTGGGGGATTGGGTGGTGGTGGTTTGGGAGGTGGGGGATTAGGGGGATTTGGAGGTGGGGGATTAGGTGGTGGTCTGGGAGGTGGGGGATTAGGGGGATATGGAAGTTTAGGAGGCCTAGGGGGTGGTGGATTAGGAGGATTCGGTGGTGGCTTGTATGGTGGGGGGTGGGGTGGTGGTCTTGGTGGGGCCCTTGCTAGTGGTGCATTAGGTGGAGGGGGTGGAGGATGGTGGTACTCCTTTACTCAAAGTGCTTGGTTCCCTTTTGCGATAGCTGCTGCAGTTATCGGTAAGTTTTTAGTAAGCGCTTACATGTATTTGCTTTGTACAAAAATATTTTTTTGTAAAATAAAATGTAATTGATACTAAATCTATGTTGACTTTACAAATGTAAAATGAATAATTTTTTGCATATACTACATGTAGTAAATATATCATTTTTTAAAAAAGGATTTCATATTCATTTTGCTGTTTTTTCAAGTAAAGAAAACTTAAGGGGAATGCAAAAAACTGATCATTTAAGATCACATTTATAAAACCAAAAGTGAACGTTTTAGAAAGTGACACAAAGAACTCGGATTTACTAGGATACATTAGTATAAGAACTACCTGCTTTAATGCAGTTCCGCTTTTTCAGTTTCAATTTTTTACAATTCATTTTTTTTCTTTTTTAGCTGCTGGACAGGCCGCGAGTGGCAGTGGCGGGGGTCTTTTTGGATTCTTTGGAGGAGGCAGCGGTAGCGCTGCCGCGGGGTCGGCAGCGGCAGGTAGCAGCGGTGGTACTGTCGCTGTCACTCCGGCGCCCGTCAGTAGTTTGTGTCCATCAAGAAGAAATCCTGTGGCTTGTGCATGGTGTAACACAAATGGACCAACAGAAGCACTCTGTAATACTAATGCAACCGGTGCAAATGGAACTGACGACCCTGTAAACACTGCCACCGACACATCTGGGGATGATTGCCTGTGGTATAGTGACACGAACATTTGTCTGAATGACGAGGGGACCTCTACTGGATGATCCAAAAAAAAGAGAGACTCAATTGTGTCGCGTCGTATTTCAACATCGGATATCTTTTTGGGATAATAATAAAGTCATAATTTTTAAAGACTTTAAATTTGAATGCATTTTAATTTATTTGAACAATATACTTTTGCTGGAAAATTTGACTTCGACAAGAAGTTTTTATTCTGTATGACAACAGGCGTTAATATGGGTATCATGCGGCCTGGAAAACTGTGGCGCATAAAAGTACGAGATTTCGATGACGCAAGCAACTTGCCACAAAAGTGACAGCTAGGGTTTAGGAATTGGTCAATATATGAATTTAAAAATCTTAACACAGACCTGTAGTATCAGGGTAAAGGGGGGGGGGGGGGGAGGGCACACCCAGATCCTTTTTCTACATTTAACTTTTCACTGTTAAAATGTTCATCGAAAAAGCGGTTTCCTATTTTTTTTTTTTTTTTTTTTTTTTTTTTGCAGTATAGCGTACTAGTCAAATTTTCTCACGGTATAACATCTTTAATTATTGAAAAGCGGGATGGTATATAGTTAGCGGTATGTCCGTCCGTCCGTCTGTTACGCTTTGGGGTACCCATCTCTTATCTGCAACTCTCATACCACTGAATGAAATTTGATGAGACTCTCATAGAATCTTTATTACATATTGCCATTGTGCATTATTCATATGGGATGCGGGGGCATCATTTAGTGAGCTCATTGCTCACAGTACCTCTAGTTTTTTTATACGTTTGTAGAAAATTCAATTTAAGAGCAAAATTAGAAACCTCCCATTAACGAAAATGTATTTTCGAGTTTTGTACACGCACACAAATATCACACCCCAATAAAACGATACTACGTGTTTGTATCATTATACTCCCCGCTTGAAAAGCGGGAGGGTATATAGTAATCGTTATGTTCGTCCGTCCGTCTGTCTGTTACGCTCTGGGGTACCCATCTCTTATCCGCAACTCCTCTCATACCACTGATTGAAATTTAATGAAACTTTCAAAGAATCTTTATTACATATTGCCATTGTGCACCTCCTATTTTACTTTTTGATCCGAGACATATTTTGGGTTTCCCTTGGCAAAACATGGACACTGCCATTTTATACATATTGGAGGCAGGGGCATCATTTAGTGAGCTCATTGCTCACAGTACCTCTAGTATTTCAACAATTTTTTGTACCCAAAAGCTTGTTAAATATGATTTAAATGATAATGAGTGGGTTTAAAAATCTTATTCTCGTGTTTAAATATTACAGTGAATAAATAAAATTTGTTTACGTTTCATTTTCCCTACACCTTGACCTACGTTTGAAATTTAATAGCTACATTTAGATATTTCTGGTACCGATTAGCTTAGAATCACCAGTTTATTCATCTTGGGTCATGGAGAAATTCAACTGAAAAGTAGGTCACTGTGACCTATTTTTGAAATCTTTTTACATAAATATTTGAAGTACAATGTACTTATAGCTAACAATTATGAAATGTAATGTCTATATAGATCTCGGGTCCTCCGAGAATATTAACTGAAAAGTAGTTCACCGTGAGATACTTTAAAAATTTTACGGCTATATCAATGAGTATATTTAAAAATATTTCTGGTTCCAATTAAAGTGCCTTAGATTTTGTAAGTTGGTGCATTTTTCGTCTACAGAGAACGTTAATGGAAAAAGTAGATCACAGTGACCTTGTAATCAAATGTTATGACAATATTCAAGTATTCCAGGTACTACATGTATATCAATCTTGTCAGTTCATGTAATTTGAAACCTAAGAATACTAGTACATGTATGTCAAGTTGTCAACATGAAAGTAGATCACAGTACTGAGTAACCTACTTTCAGAAATGAAGACAAAATCTAAAAATTTTTAAATAATAAGAGACTTAAAATTATCGAACCTTTGTCATTTGATGCATTTAGAGGTCTTGATAGTATCTTGATAGTATCTTTACTAAAACAAAGCTCACATTTACCTACTTTTAGGATCAGAATCATCAACGGCTTTGTCATGCAGTAGATGCATCTTGAGTTCTCAGAGTGTTTTAACCAAACTGGAAGTCACGATGACCTATTGCTTCTTTTAGTGGAATTTGAAGTTGTTATATTAATAAGTATACAGGATATTCAAAGGCTTTAGACAGATGTAATGGGTTGTACATTTTTTCAGAAGAGCATCTTAAAAGGCCTTTAGTTCTTTTGTTTCATAACGTTTTCGAAATAACTTAAATCCATCAAACCGCTAATTATGACCCTGCCAGATTTTGTTCTTCTATATTATATTTCTATGTAAAACTTGGCTCCAATCTTTTGTGGACCAATATTTCTTGAGATGATTTCCAAATGACCCAACCCTTTTTCACTTTTATGAAATCGAATCATCTTTACATGTACTTAGTGCCGAGTATATTTTGAAATCAAACTCTCTGTTCGTCTTTTTGTCCACAAAAACTTTGCCAATAACTTTTGAGTGGTCGGGTCTATTCCTTTCTTAATTCACGTTTATCCATTGGGAAAAAAACCTTTCTAAAAGTCCCACCAAATTGACCTACTGACCTTGACCTTGGAATTTGACCCGGTTTTACTTTACTTTTACATTTCAAACTTTAACCTTGCTCATAACTTTTAAACAGTTGGTGCTAGGGCTTTCATACTTCACAGGTTTATTCATTGTAACCTTTCAATGGGTATAAATGTTTTCGTCTTTTTGACTTGAACTTAAAGTTTGACCCACTTTTAAAAAAATGACCATGACTTTTGAACAGTTATTACCAGGGCTCTCATATTTCACACGTATCCTCCTTCCAACAAATCCTTCCTTTAGATTCCAACACTTGACCTTTGACCTTGGCTTGCATTTGAGAAGCATCAGTGTTTCACAACACATTTTATCTAGGTGTCCAATCCAGTGTATAATTCAATGCATTGTGAATTTACTGATGCATTTTTCTTAACATTTATGTAAGATGACATTCTGTATGATTAAGTGAAATGGGGTTTTCTATCTAAAAACAACATACAGCCTAAATCTGTTCTCTTTATTTTCACATCTGAGTGATTAAATTATCCTGTCAAAAAAGAAACTAGTTTAATGAATGATAAAATATGTGCAGTTTCATAAGCAAAGAAATTTAAACTACAAGAATAGAAATTCATGTATTACAACTGACATTATTGGAAAAATATAAACAAGATGTGTTTATTAGAACAGGGAATTAATTGAAAAGCATGTCAAAAACTCACAGTAGCAAACAATTCAAAGTAAAGACATCCAAATTCAATTTTTTATAAGGAAAATCAAAATGTCAATAAAAATGCAAAAATTCTTAATGAAAGGCTCAAAGTGAAAACTAACTAGATGTACACATTCAAGTTACAAATGCCACTCTGTATGACTTAGAAATTGTTACAGCATCAAATGACATAATGAGTATTACACATTAAGTCCAAATCAACAAGCTTTCCTCATTTGTTTCTAAAAAATACACAATATAACTAATGTCATTTTACAATTGTCATTACAATTATCATTTTTTGATTTTCTTTGAAGAAAATATCAAACAAATTAGAATTTTCACGTAAAACGTGAAGTGACTCAATAAAGCGCAAATATTCAAACAACAATGAAAAAATGCAAGCTACGTGTATTAAGGTTTTCACATAATTTAATTTCTTGGATTGTCATAACTTTATGAAAATATAATATTGAAAATAATTTATATTCCAAATGCTGCTTACATACATTCCATGAAAAGACAGGATGATATCTACCGCAGCACTGCTTTAGAGACTGGAGAGGTACAAAAGGGGGAAATGATTCCCTGTCAATGAAAATTGTGAATAATACCTGCATGGTTATCTGTATTATACCAGGAAACCAGACAGACCATGTCCCTAGGCCTATTTTTTTTATACTTTACAAATATATTCAATATCCAATAGTTTCACATTTCTAATCAGTGACAAGTAAAATAATCCTATTATGACAAAATTAATCACTGATTTCAAAGTAAAAAAGTTTAGTTCTTAATCAACTCCCCTTAATTAAGGTATAGATGTATTTCAAAATATCAAGTATCATGATGATTATCTTCATTATAAAAAAATTGATGGCTTACGGAGAATCTTTCAATTTACCAATATACTCATCAAAGGTCAGTTCAAAATTAAACTTACGCTATTCTGAATTTAATGGCATAGCTCCATGTGAATGGTCTTAAGTTAGACAATAATTGACAATGTAGAATCATGTCTTGTTCCTAAAGAGACCATCTTTTTCCATGCTTTCTTTAGAGCCATGACAGGACTTGCTGCATTAGCTGACGTGTACTTACTTTATGAACCAATGATATTGTAAATGTCAAATTAAATAAATACATGCAATGACATAGAACAACAACAATGTATTTGTCATCAGATTTAAACTGATTTTTATAAGTTTAATGGGGCATCAAACTTTGGCACAGTGTTGACACATAATACTAATAACTTTTTAATGATAATTGGTCTACATTTGGTCTATAAAGGAAATGGAAACATAAACAAAATATCCAACTGAAGGAAACATATTTGTTGCCTTCATGATTTTCAAACTGTTGTCAATGAGAAACAGTAGTCTATTATGTAACAACCCTGATACGAGAACACAACAGAAATTTCTATATCGACTGAAGTACTGAAAAGATCATGAAGTGGTGTGTCATTAGTGATTAGAGAATGATATTTATTTAAACTAAAAGCCACCAGATCGGATGCTCATTTTTTAAATCATTTATCTGGATTTCCTGAACATCCATTGGGATTTCCTGTACACCCAGCTGGATTTCCTGATCCTGATTTGCTCTTGAAGTGGAGATGGAGTGAGGGAAGACGGAGGTCTGTTACTCATCCCACTTTGGCACTGATTTTCAAAGCCTTCAAGGCATTATTCACTCTCACTGTTAATCTATTCTCAAAATCATATTCTTTGTAATTATCCTAAAATAATATAGATATGACATTGTTAATTGATTTTCGCCTTGAAATATAATTATGAAATATTTTTATTGATGGAATAGCTTGACATGTTCTGTCTCTGACAATAATATGAAGCTGAGAATAAGACAGAATGTACCCCAGTTACTGAATGGATGAATCTTACCTTTATCTGTTGTAACAGTTGTTTTGCTTTTCCAGCAGTCTGAAATGTTCATTGCATTTTTATATAAATGAGTACTAAAAGAATAAGCTTATGAAATTTTAACAATTAATGCACTGAAAATGAAAATTTGATCAATTATTGCATTGAATATATTTACCACAAGCACTTGATGTTTTAAACCTTTCTCTTTTGATGACATATCCCCTTATAATATGTATATGGGGAATATACTGTAGAGGTACTTTTTTCCGCGTGGTATTAATTTACGCTATGTACGCCGTCACAAGTTGTCTGCAGAAATTTATCCCATCATACTCAAAATACTTGTAGGGATTACAAGGAGTGATCATAAAGTTCGCGAACTAATTTAATAACTTCCATAAAAAAAATAATATTTGGTTTCAATGTTGATTATATTTTAAATCAGTCCTCTCCGATTTCAATGAATATCTGCTACTGTTCTACTCATGCATGAATCATGTGATATAGGCGGTCACGTGACCCCCTTCCTTGCGTTCTGTAACAAAAGCCGAAATATTTTTCTGAGTTTTATATTTCTTTCCATGTAAGTTAATTTTTATAACAAGAACAGTTCATTTGTAAGAAATGGTCAAATCTCAGACACAGAATGGGTGGATAAGAATATCTTGTCCAAAAAATAAGCATGGCGACCATCAAAACCCAAATCTTCTGTCTCGGGAGAGATGTTTATTCAAGATGGATAGAGAATGGGTGCCTCCTTTTTATGATATCTAATATGTTTAAAATCTAAAGTAAACGATATCTTAGGTATTTAATAATGATATTACCGGTATTGTTAAGATGTTCAACTATTTTCCAGAGTGTAAATTAGAGGTCTTTGATAGCAAATTGCGTAATTAAAAACACATCTCTTTTCAAACTTGCTTTCACTGGGCAACATAACAAATATCATTTTTGAACATATACCTTCCTTCACTAAAACGATTAATCCAATCATTTATTGAATTTATAGGAAGTCTTTTGTCTTAATAAACTGTGTACTGTTAGTTATCCAGGTTCAATCAAGGGTGTACGGGGATTTACCCCGGGTTTTATTCCATACATCCTGAGGCCGAAAGGTGTATGGAATAAAACCCGGGGTAAATCACCTTACTCTCTTGATTGGACCTGGATAACGAATTTATTTCCTATGTTCCCATAAAAATTCTTTGTAAACAGAGTCTAATCATTTGTGTCTCAATCTATCAATACGTACTATAATGCATCGTGACGTCATGTTATTTGCTTTTTATCATAGAGAAACTATGCATTGTGATGTCACATTTTTTACCTCCGGCTGAAGTCGGGTGTACAGAAATTTACAACTGACTCTGCAACCAATCAAAGCTCGTGTTACAAGCTAGATAGGAAATAAAAATTCTTATATGCTACTGCAAAGGAATTTCTAAGATATATCATCAAATTTTGCAGTTGTTCGTTGAACGAGTACGACTGAGAAATCCATTTTTTGTCACAAATGACCTACATAGTGACGTCATTTTTACATTGTGACGTCACAAACAAGGAGCAAAACTTAATTCAGCATATGCTATTTATAGAACTTGTGTATGGCTATGTGCACACCAAATCTTTTTCTAATCTAAATTGAGGTTTTGTAGATATAAAGATAGTTCGCAAACTTTTTGATCACCCCTGGTATTGTGAGAGTCTAAGAAATCTGCGTAATTTTCTACCCGCGGATTAAAAAGAAATAGAGATTCCGCGGATTTATGACCCCCGTGGAAAATAGTACGTCTACAGTATTCATCAATGAAAATGTCAAGAGCCTGTGATATTTACATAACATAAGTGCTGAAGATTGTACTTAAAGTTCAGGTATGTTTTAAAAATATATACTGGTACTGGTTTATTTTCTTAATGCAAAAAAAGTGTGATTGTTTTCTTGTCTACATCTTACACAAGAAAAGATTTGTACATTCTATTGTTTACCTCAGGCTTTCTCATGTAAATAGAAGCAAGCTCAAAGCTGGCAAAAGCCGGGACATGTTGGTCTTCCTTCATTCCTTGTTGTCGAGCTATGGCCTCCTCTAAACACTAAACAAGAAAATCAATTGTTAATCAAAAACTTAGCAATGAGAAGAAAAGTAAAGGACAAGTGGGAAATCCGTTTCCAAGGAGATTTTACTTATATATACTATTCACACATAAGTATGATTGTTAATTTTCTACATACTTTGTAATTGCAAGCACTGAGAGAATAGCGATACATTCTGCCTCGCATGGTATGAAATTTACTAACCAGGTATCATCCCGTACCCTGTCACTTAAAAACTATGTAACTAATAATATTGTCTTCAAACTCACCTGTAAGGAACTTTAAAATCCCCGATACTGTCCTCACACTCACCTGTATTGCCATTTCTAGTTCTCCAAGCTCTTTGTACACAGCTCCTTCTATCAAACATTTGACATGATAGACCTTTGAATCTGTTTGCATGTCACAAACTGAAAAAAAATAAAGAAGAAATTACAAATATATATATTTTTAATTTACAACCTTGTTGCACCACTTAACTCTACCTTAACTGAAGCCAGTTTCCATCTATCAAAATGCATTGTATCGAAAATAACCGTATAGAGACAAAATTATTCAATACATATCAAACCATGAAAGAGGGGTATCGTTTCACCAGTATTATTTCTTGTATTCTATGCTTTCCCCTTATGACTTAAGTCATTGAAATATAACAGATTAACTTTGTACCTGTGAGATAGGGTTGAAGTTCATCTGGAGTGCAGGTGGGTAGAGCATGCCAGAGAAATATCAGCTCCATACATAGCAGACGACAGTACTCCTGACTTGGGGCTGCCTTCTTGAACTTCTCAGCCTTTTAAATATAAAACAAGGTATTAATAAACTTCCTCATTAGTCAGTATCCAGCTTATAAATCAAAACAATGCCATGAAAAAAAAACAAGAGGGACTGGGCTCACAAAGCTCATCTGAGTTACTATAATGGCCTTATACTGTTCTTTGTCAGCAGTTTTTCCCAATACATTCCTAAGTAAACTTTTATTGGCCATTGCAGTACCATCCCCCCAACCCCCACCCTCAGTCATTATTCCGAATCTGAATCTACAAACCTGAGGATGCTTCTAATTTAATGTGACTAATCATAGCTTTGTAATTTTTGAGGAGAAATTTTTTAAAGAAGTTTTCCTATACATTCCAGACCTATGTTTAGTTTTAATCACCTATTGTTGCTCAAACCTACCCAAAGGGGTAAAAATTTTAATAAAATCGAATCTACACTACCTGAGGATTTTCCTGGTCCTGTGGTTTTTGAAGAAATGACTTTCAAGAAATCCCATTAAAATTATCTTAATTCTTAATATCCGCCCCTTGGAAGAGGCCTGGTCTTCATTCAACAAACCTGAATCCCCTTCCCTCAAGAATGTTTTGTGGCAATATTGGTGAAGCTAGTGGCTCCACAATGTGAAAAGTTACAGACCGATGGATGCACGACAAATTGTGATCAGAACCTAAAAGCTACACTTACCCTCCTTGAAACATAGGCTTCGATTTGATTGTTTTTCTTTTTGAGCAGACCTGGTACTTCTTTGAGTATGTCATGAGCTCCCTTTATATCACCCATTGCTCCCAAGGACACTAAAACAAGCATACATAATCAATCTCAAGCACATGTGGCAATCACCGAAAATTTACACAATTTGTTTTAAAAACATATGTAAAAAAAAAAACCCCATAAAACTAAGATTTCCAATGTGTTTTACAACAGTTTCCATTCTTTTGATTAAAACTTCATTTCAAATGCTTTAACAAATTTTAAGTTAAATTTCTTTTCTATTGGTTAAGAATTGTGATTTAATATTACAATGTAAATGATTTACAAGTGGAATTTTTGAGTCAACATATTAAATTGAAGTAAGTTTTAATATCAAGTAATCAATAGAAATTCATTTCAATTTAGAGTTGCAAGTTTAAAATATGATTTAAACAGTGATTAATTCCACCACAATGTGAGATATGACAGTACTCACCTCCCATAAGATATGTATAGTAACATTTGGACCACTTTGTCTCTTCCTTTAATCTAAAAATGGAACAAAACATATGTAGTGAGCCTGTATTTCAACAGCCTTATTTTCAAAAGTATAGAGGTCAGCTTTCTCAGCTTCATGTATCAGCAGGTGAAAGATTTTTACTGGTACCATTTAAATATGTTTGGGAACTCCACAGCTGTATCAAATTACAGGTATTTGACAAACTGTTGCTCATATTTCAAGGACAATTTAACAAAAAAATTATTAAATTAAATATGTTTACCTTGTGAATGCTTGTAGACTTTCTCTCCACTGTAATTTCATTATATTAACCCAACCTAATAAAATAAATTACAAAATAAAATTGGCATTTATAATTTGGGTCCAGAGTCTTTAAAACTTTTAAAATAATCAATTTATTTCTTACATATACAAATGTTTTCATTACATTTCATATCTCTGATTTCATATTCTTCTTCTTATAAGCTATAGATCAATTTACAGGATCCAAAAAGAAACATTTTAGTGCTCTCTTACTTTATAAGTTCTATTTCCCATTAAGTTTTGATATTTACCTTCTTAATATTGAAACAATTAAGTTAATTTCCTGTTAATCTTTGATATTTACCTATTTCATATTGACACATGAGTTCTATTTCCCTTTGACCTTTTGCTGCCTCTAATGCTTTTTGATAGGACTCCAATGATTTGTCTGTTTGTTTCTAGTAAAAACATTGAAATATTCCATAATAGTACACTGTCAAATACACTTATAAATAACAAAATTGTTTAAATCTTAGCTATGTATATTTAGTAGTGTTGGCAACGAGTACCCGGTTAATCGGTTAACCGTCGAACGATGCGAGTATCGGTTAGTAAAACTGCTATTCGGTTACTCGGATAAAATGCATCTTATATGGTAAAAAACTAAAAATTAAAATGTTAATTTGTATATAAGCGTACAAATCAACATTTCTCTAATTTTCTTTACCGTTAGACTTAATGATCTATGGTTTTACTAATACGATTGATTGGTTTTCACATTTAATTGATAGCTTTGATTGCCAGCAGGTTATACACGTTTTGAAGACCCAAGTTATAATTACCTCATTTAATAATTTAACAGCATGCCGCCAAAGACATGTATAGCTTGGAATTATTTAAAAAAAACAGCTGATTCCATACCTGTAAAATGTAATTAATGTGAATTGGGGTTATCGTGACTTCAAATTTCTAAATAATTAGTCTCCTTGGTCGTGACACATATTGGGGGTTGAAAAAGTAAAACTGATGAACGCCATTGTAAAATAGCGTGAAACATTGAATATTTTTCTTCTGATTTAATTAATTTTTGTGATCATAATTATATCTAAAATTCAAGATATTGCGTGCGTGTTTTTTTAAAGTTTATAAATAAAGTTACATGTATTCACAATACTTTTGTGTTTTATAAGAGCCGATGAGTGAAAGATGAGATAAATGATACATATGAATAAATCATCCGAGTAACCGGGTACTCGATCGGAAGATAAAGCGAGTACCCGGTTACTAAAAATCATCCGATTTGCCAACACTAATATTTAGCTATGGGTGTTAGTGATTTATTATTCTTTTAGAATTGGTAACTTTAAATTAAAGATAATACAGGTCTTTGCATTGTATATAAATCTGTCTTTCATGAAGACAACAAATGAAGGATTACCCTGAGTCTGTGTATCCTCCCACGAAAGAATAGAAATAAAGAAGACTGCTGGAATTCTGTCTCTTTCTCTTCTATAATTCTCTCCGCATCTTCTGTCCCTGATTAAAAAAAAATAAGTCTCATCAGGCTAATTAGATTCAAAATTATTTTTCTCTGCATATCAAAATTTTCAAATTTATTCAAAGTTGTTCTTTAAGAATGCCTAATGGTGAGGAAAAGTACTGGTACTAAAATATTGTATGTACATGTGTACGGTGTATATATCAATGTTCTTATAAACTCTCTTGGTTCTACATTTGAATATCTGAAAAACACTACCTTAAACCCCAGGAAGAAAATTGCTCGAAACATTTCATTCATTAAATTATTCAGATCATAACAATAATTTGTTATTTGACATTTAAACAATACTTGATGTTGTTCAAACGATTTTTACCTGCACTATAATCGTTAGCTCCATCCAATGCAAAGAATGGCCGTAGTACAGTGTGGTACCACAGCAGGCCTAGTGTGGCAAGAGGTGCTTTCATATCTTTACTGTGACTAGAGTAATCTAATGCTGCAAGCCCTGCATCCCGGTCACCCTCAAACCCAAACAGTTCAATCAATTTTAGAATCTTAGGGGGGACCATTGATATACAAATCTGGAATGTTCCGTATCCAAAACTAACCGCCCCCTGGAGGCGGTCTAGAAGTTCCTGAGGCATTTCGTTGTCATTTCCATCCACTGGTCCATTCTCTGACTGACGTAACTTGGCATTTCTCATCTGGAGTTGCATGACATCTTTGTACAATTTCTCGTAGATTTTCCAGGCTTTGCGGAGGTACCAGCCACCTTTGATGTAGCTAGGAATGTCTTGATTGGTGAACACTAATATTGCCTGATAGAGTAAAGAGTCAGCTACTATCACCTGTCTTTGAATCTTTTCATCAATGCTGATTTGTCCCTCCTGAAAAATGTTTTTTTTTATTATTGTGTTTAAGAGTTATCAGTTTATAATTTATTCTGTATTTTACTTCACAAAAGAATAAATAAAATTGTATATGTTAGTCAATTTTTCTTAATTCTTTTTTCCTACCAGTCAGTAAAATTCTTTAAAAAAAACTATTAATAAATTATATTTCTTGACTTCTTCCTTACACATTAACTCTGCCTTTTGCATGCAAAACATATTTACCACTCTCTTTTTCTTGGACTTGAATCTGTTTTTGATTGACTTCAACACTCCTGAATCAGTATCACACAATTTTTCAGTTTCTTGTAAAACTTTCAAAGCTTCGTCTAGCTTTTCCTCCTCAAAAGACATAAGAGCTTGCTACAAAAAGAAAATAATTTGAAAAGCACATACATGTACACAATATAAAAAAATTACCTGTTTCAGAAAACTCTAAAGTACAAATTCAATACATGTATTTCTTTTACATTGGTAATTTAAAAATGTGCACAGATGACAATGTCTATAATGTATCATCAAGAGACTCAATAAATAGAACAGATGCTGATATATCCATATGCACTGTGTAAATGCTATTTTATCTTCCACATAAGACTGACAGTCCAACTGAGGAACATTGGGAGTGTTTCATAAATATAAATCACAATGTATTAAATAATTTTAATCCAAACTGTGTTCAATTAAAAAATATTTTGTGTATATTTAACACAGTCATTTTTTACGTAAAGTGTATCTACACATGTATTAACGATATAAATCTCAATTTTTTATTGAAATTATTACTTACCATGAAAAATACAAAACTGTATCCTGAATTCATCAAGTAACTGTCATTCCTATTAATGAAATATTTCATGGAGTTTAATTAAGATTTATTTTTAAATGAATTCATTGTGAGAGCAGGTAGCTCTTATAGCAATACCTGGACAAATAAAAATATATATATACAGTAATTGATACAATTATAATACTTTATTTAAAGAAAATGGTCAGATAGGTGCATTGAACCATGCTGTTCTTTTTCAGGCCCTCTAATTAAAAACATCTAATAAATAATATGTATGTACCAGTAAAGTAACAATATATTGCAGCATATAATAGTCGATTCAAATGATTTTTTTTTTCGCAGTAACTTCTGGACTCACAATCATGCAAATGCTACAAACTACAATGTCTGTTCTTCAGGTGACAAAATGCTCTCCTTTCAATTGATACTGCATATACTGGTAGTTTTTTTTTTTTATTTAAAATGCTCTTATTTTGCTTTTTTCAGACTCTGTTATGGAAATCCGAAATGCAACAGACCAGGGATGTGAGATTTTATCAGTATACTGGTATAACGCGATTTTTTTATTGCATGATACCTATCGTGATACGGAGACTGAAATACCGATATTTAGCTACATATTATAAAGTCCAAAAATTTATTTATTTATTTGTTCAATTTTTTAAATTACAATTACAGAAAGTCTAAAAAAGTTGAAAAAGCTTAAAAGAACGGCATCTTAGCATCCAAACGTGCATAATATTATGTACTACATAAAATTTCAAATGAGTAAATATTTATTTTTCAGACATATTTTTAAGAAAAATACTGAGTATTCATTTAAAAAAATTAAAAGTATAAAACAGATCACCAACACTTCGTGAGAATGCAGCAGTAAATTTATTTTGCTGACCGGTTTCGACCTGTGACGGTTGTCATCAGAACTTTTAAGTTTATAACTTTAGTTACAGACCCTATTGAATACCTTTCGGTATCCACACATGAGAATCTTCCGCAATTTTAACCTCAAGGTGTTGGTCTCCAGCTTTTCTTTGTTTTGTATTTAAAAAAATTTTTTTAAATGCTTGTAAAAACCAGAACATCATGATATAATTGTGATATTTTGGGGAAAAAATCGTGGTATATCACAACACAAAATTTTTGGCGATATAACCCATCCCTACAATAGACATTTCTTTTTTTCGATATGTAAATTGACATACTCAGGAAGGAATTGCAGTTACAATAAAACAAAGATGGAGTTGTAAAAATTATGATGAATAGGATGTTTATATTATGAATAACCTGATAAGTTGATAACCAAGGAAATATCAAAAGAACTGACTCATTGGACATGATATTGCATTGGATGACCACATTTATGCTTTTCTGGATTCATTTATTCAAAGCTTTGGCTAATACATTTTAATCATCTTCATTTAAAGCTTAATAGAAATTAACTCTACTTGTCCTTGTCCTTTATTCAAAAAAATGATTACACAATCCCCCGATTATGAAAATTAACGTCGGGATCGGAAAACTCGACTGAAGTTTTTTTTTTTCCTCACAAAGCAATTTATGATTCTAATTATCTTTTTTTTAATTTTGAAATGTTCAAATGATACATACTTGTATTTTTCGAATAAAGCGCTGGCTTCATCAAAACCATTATTCAGCAACATTGAGATACCATTCAATGCCATTTCTGACTCGTCCATTCCAGCAAGGGTGTCCTCGCTTTCGGAACTGGTCAGTTCGGGAATCACTGAATTTGTTGCCATCTTTTCAATTCTAGATTGTGCTCACGGTGACAAAATATCGATCGCTCATCTCTTTTTCTCACGACAGCAACATGAACCTTGACTTCTGTTTGGGGTTGCCACCGTTCTTACGCACTTCCGGATAAAAGGGCATTCCCAGATGAAATCCCGAGCCCGAGAAAATAGGGAACCCGAAAGAGCACACACACAAATATCATATTATCGAAAAAAAAAAATGATTTCCTATCGACCTAGCACTTCACATACGCCATTTTAGTATTTCTAGGAATTCCTGTATTTTATAGCGAAACAAAGAATTTATCTAACTTATTTCCACAAAATGTTTTATGTTTTTCTGTTTGTGCCAATAAAATATTTGTATGTTGTATTTGCACATAAAAATATCACTTGAGAGAGTGTGATTAGAACAGATGACACTAGGGACATAATTATCATGGAACTAATTATATTTTTAAAAGAAAGAATCGATGAATCAACCAATAAATCAAGCTTTGACTTTGCATGTACTTCTTATGTATCATATACGAGTGTTGGTAAAATGGGTAGGCAAACCCGGGCCGGGGCAAATTAAAAGCCGGGGCAAATCGAGATTTTTCAATTTTTTGTCTTAATACTTTATCGATCGAGCTGAAATTTTCAGAATCTATTAAATATATGATTATTTATATTCGCTGTTAAAATTGTCCTGAAATACTTTATACTGTAGATTTTATCGGCGATTATTGATTTTCAAGTTGGTAAAATCTCACAATTTACGTTTTCAGACATATGCTGCATAAAGTCCATAAAGTTATGAATAATTCTGGTGTTTAAGAATATATATTAACAATAAATTAATATTTCTTCATTGTTTATTGTAATATTAACGTAAAATACGTGTTTTAAGAAAAACTTAGTCTCGTTCAACCAGACCCTCGGCTGTCTCCGTAAATCTCCGACCACCCAGAGCGGCGGGTCGGAGTTTACGGAGACAGCCGAGCGTCTGGGTGAACGAGACTAAGAAAAACTGGGTCATTAAAACTGGATACGAACACCCGGGAAAAACCTGAAAATTCCGGAATTGTTGTAGTAAATTTATTTTCAAAGTAAATTTTCAAACTGTTCATTTTAATTAATAAATAAAAATGCTGTTATGAGAATATTTTCATGTGGTTAGAGCTGGGCAATGTCACAAAAGTGATAGCTAACATCCTCCAATACAAACAATTGGCCTTAATCACTGTTAATTATTTCGGAATTTTCGGGTTTGCCCCGGGTGATCGGATCCGGTTTTAATGACCCGGTTTTTCTGAAAATGTGCATATTCTGCATACTTATTGCTTTTATGATGTAAAACTAATTATATTTCGTTAATATATAGTGTAAATTATTGGAAAAGTCCACAATTGTGATGGTTTAATGAATCGTAATTCAAAAATACCGTAAAATGTCGTATTGATTTTGCCTACCCATTTTACCAACCTGCAAATGAACAATCACCCAGAAAATCTGAAATATTGCGTATATTTGGGTGATAGTAACAGCGAATACAAAAGAACATTCAAAAAACATAATCTGAAAATTTCAGATTAATTGGTGGAGTCTTAGCGGAGATATTTGAAAAACCTAGATCTGCCCCGGCTTTTAATTTGCCCCGGCCCGGCACTAGTGTAATTTTACTGGAAAGTCCTATCTTTATATTAAGTTTTAAAGCAAATAGAAAGATCCTTTTTACGTTTAGTTTAAAAGAATATTTACCATGTATGAATTTAAAAAAAATTTCATTGTTATCTGATATGAAAATGGGACTATTAATGCAACATTTTTTAAAAATATTATTATTAAAAGTTTGATTGGATCTCTCACTTCTCATCAGTACAGTAACAGCTGCGTAAAACAGAATCAATGCTTGAATACTGTGATTGTCTTTTTGGAATTCTATTCAATTTGTATGAATGAATCCTAAAGAATATTTGATCCTCTGGTAACTAGCAAAGAAAAGAACTGCAATGTTTAAAGAAAATAACAAAATTTATCAAAATTATAGTTTTGTTTCGTTTTTGTGTTTATGAAATAATATTTTTTTTTAAGTTTCATATTTTTTTACTAGTATTAATGAATAATTAAAAAATGAAGACAAAATTGATTTGATTTAGAGGGGATGTCAAGGGTCACCGAACCGGTAGGTTGTGTTTTACATTGGCTCCGGTGTGTATTCATAATTTTGTCATCTTTTAATAATTTAAGAACTTTCTAAGTCCAATAGTCAAGTACCTAAAGAACTCTGAAAAGATGACCTATGTTTACAGTGCGTTTTAAGTATAATTTAGAGGTTGTTTGCAGAAATTAAAAGTTGAACAGTTCGATGAGTACCTACTCAGTTCAGCCATAGCCATTGCCATTGTTGTATAGCCTTGCATATGTCAATTTACACGTGTGTAACTTTTATTGTGTTTCGTGTATGCAAAGTGATATCAGTATGTCTGTTGCCGACACTGCCAAAATTGTATCTGAAAGTAATGCAGTCATATACGGTGATGCAGGTAGAGGACATAATGACGGTGGTGGTGGCACATGTATTACACTGGAATCAATTCACGATGTGTTAATGCAACTTTCACATATGCAAACACACATGGATACAAAACTTTCAAATATTGAAGCTAAAAATGACAGCCTTGAAACTCGGTTAAGTGAAATTGAAAAGAAAATTGCAAGTTTTAATGAACTTAGTAATGTGGTCAGTTCTGTGAAATCTCATGTGAATATGCTCGACAGTGACGTTAAGACAGTAAGAAATGACCTAAAAGAAATAGACTGTAATATGAATGCTCTTGGAAATGTCTTTGACACTGTCAGGGAGACAGCGGAGGCAAACAAACGTGGGGTTACAGCAAACAGAAACGATATCGATAAGTGCACGCAGCTACAGAAAGTCTCTGATTTGAAGATACAGAAAGAGTTCACTGATTTAAAAGAAATTAATGCAAACCTGCAAGAAAGTGTCACTGATTTGAAGGCCCGGTCCATGAGGGATAATCTTGTGTTTACGGGAATATATGAAGAAGAAGGAGAGGATACAGAGGCCGTGTTACAAGAATTCATCAGGAGGAAGTTCCGACTACACTACGATATTTCATTTGAAAGAGTTCACCGTGTAGGAAAATGGAATGAATATCGCGAATATCCCAGAAACATCGTTGCCAAATTCACCTACTTTAAAGAGAGGGAATTAATAAGGACACGCGCCCCGCAGAAACTTAACGGCTCTAACGTATGGGTCAATGAACAGTTCCCTCCGGAAATCGAGGAGCGCAGAAAGAAATTATATCCCATCATGAGGCAGGCAAAAATGGACAGAAAGCGCGTTAAGCTAGTGAGAGATCAACTTTATATTAACGGTGAACTATATCATCTGAACAGAGACACATCTACCCAACCGGAACGGCAATCATACAGTAACGCGATCAATTCGGGAGCCTCAGCAGATCGACAGCCCACGCAACGGGAACGACCAACGTACCGTAACGCGACCAACTCAGGAGCCCCAGCTGCTCGACAACCCATGCAACAGGGACGACCACCGTACAGTAACGCGATCAGCTCGGGAGCCCCAGCTGATCGACAGGCCGCGCCGTCGACAAAAAGACCACGCTACGGATCGACGCCAGACCGACTGTAGGGACACAAAGGGGACCAGGCGGCACAGGCATTGACATTCTTATCTTTAAATGTCTGTGGACTAACTACGTAAAAAGTTGAATTATCCTGAATTTTTAAATTTTGTTTGTAAATACGATGTTTTATGTTTTACCGAGACAAAAACGGATAACACTGATGTCATAAATATACCACGGTTCGTTGTATATATGAAAAATAGATTCAATATTGCAAAAGTTAAATCAGGAGGAATTATCCTTGCAGTGAGAGAAAATTTAGTTAAATATGTTGATGTTATAACCTCAAATTGTGAATATGTATTTTGGTTTAAGTTATCGAAAGAAGTTGTACATTTACAGTCAAATATATTGTTTGGAATTACGTATATACCTCCAGAAAATACTAGATACACATCAGTTGATAGTTTTACTGACATTGAACGAGAACTGTTATTTTTTTCTAAAAATTCAGAAAATATCTGTTTATTGGGTGACTTTAATGCACGGACAGGTAAATTAAAAGACTTTGTATGCTTAGATGACTTTTTTGTAAACCATGGTATGTTGGACGAAGAAACACAAGAATCTTTAGAAGAAGTTAATGTATTGTTGAATTCAAACGTTTCACTGGAAAGAATGAATAGTGATAATATTTGCAATAATTATGGATACAAATTGATTGAATTATGTAAAAATAACAACCTTTTTCTTGTAAATGGTCGAATAGGAAATAATAGGTTAACTTGTAAAGATAGTAGTACTGTTGATTATGTAATATGTAATGCATTTTTATTAAGGCAAATTAAGGAATTTGTCATACATGATCATTGTAATCTATATTCCGATGTTCATTGTCCAATAACCTTCGAACTTTTAAACGTTACATCTAAAGATATTCAAACATCTAGTCAAGTATGTGAAAAGGTAGAATCAAAACTATTCATCTGGGATCCTTCAAAGGCTACTGAATTTGAGAATAATATTAGTGAGGACACATTAAATGACGTTTTGGGAAGTATTGAAAAATTAAAAGAGAAGTCTGTAAATCAACATGATATAGATAAAATAACTAAAGATGTTTGTAACATATTTATAGATTCGGCGGGGAAGACTTTAAGACGAAGAAATCACCCACCCTTTAAGTCACAAAACAAAAATAAACCATGGTTTAATAATAGCTGCCGCACAGCCAGAAGAAATTTTCATTTGGCGAAACGCTTAAATAATAAAGAAAAGTCAACTAAATCAAAGGAGAATCTAAAGACTATGAGTAAAGAATATAAGAGAGTCATGGATAAATATATTAAGGAGTATAATAATGGAATTTCAGATAAACTTAAATCACTACAAAATGGAAAACCGAAAGAATATTGGCATATTTTAAATAGCTCAAATACAAAAAATAAAACAAGTGTTGATATAGATTCTATGTTTGATTTTTTAAAGAAAACAAATGAAAGTATTTTCACAGATGATGACATAGAATTTAACGTAGACTTAAGTAATGACAGTATCCTTAATCAGTCTATTACAGGTGAAGAAATAGAGAATGCAGTAAATAAATTAAAAACCAATAAAACGCCAGGGGGTGATTATGTTTTGAATGAGTATATGAAAACAACTATTTCAAGCTTTCTGCCGCTGTATGTAGAATTATTCAATGTTATCTTTGATAGTGGCATAATACCAGAGGACTGGTTAGTAGGATTAGTTAAACCTATTTATAAAGGTAAAGGTGATAGAAGCCAACCTGAAAATTACAGACCAATTACTTTACTTAGTTGTTTAGGAAAACTTTTTACTAGTATACTTTGTGACCGTTTAAATACTTTTGCTGATGAAGTGGAGCTAATCAATGAATTTCAAACAGGATTTAGGAAAGGTTATTCTACTACTGATAATATATTTGTGATTGATTTTTTGAGTAAATATGCCCTGAATAATAAAAAGAAATTATTTTGTGCCTTTATAGATTTTAAGCAAGCCTTTGATACGGTATGGAGACATGGTCTGTGGACTAAAATTCCACAAAGTGGTATTGATGGAAAATGTTTTAGATTTATTAGAAATATGTATAATGGTATTAAGTCAAAAGTACAAATAGGTCATCAGTTATCAGACTTTTTTATGTATAATGTTGGTGTTAGACAAGGGGAAAATTTATCACCCTTTTTATTTTCATTGTTCATTAATGACCTAGAAGATTATTTAACAAGAAATCAAATTAATGGTTTTACATGTCCTAGTCAACAAACGCAAGATGATACGTTTGTTATGTTAAAACTGTGTATACTTTTTTATGCCGATGATACGGTCTTAATGTCTGAATCTGCTTCTGATTTACAAAAGTCACTTGATGTTTTTGCTGGATACTGTGATGTATGGAAACTCCGTGTTAACATAACCAAAACAAAAGTCCTTATTTTTTCTAAAGGTCCAATGACAAAGCGTAAATTTTTATATAACGGTGTAGCTATTGAAAATGTTAAAGAATTCTGTTATCTGGGTTTATTCCTGTCAAGAAGTGGGAAGTTTAACAATGCAAAAAAACATTTAACCCAACAAGCATCAAAAGCAATGTATGGAGTCTTACGTAAAATTCGATATTTTAATTTACCAATTAATTGTCAGTTAGATTTGTTTGATAAAGTCATCAACCCAATTTTACTTTATTCGTGTGAAGTATGGGGATACGAAAATTTAGACATAATAGAAAAAGTTCACTTGAAATTTTTGAAATTTATTCTTAATCTTAAATCTAGTACTCCGAATTGTATGGTGTATGGAGAAACAGGTAGATACCCTCTGTCTATATTTATAAAATTAAGAATAGTTATGTACTGGGCAAAAATTTTAACAGCTCACGAAAGTAAGCTTACAAAAGTTATTTATTCATATTTTTATAGATGTTATAGTGATGGGTCGTTTGTACATCCATGGATAAAATGTGTACAAGACGTACTTAATTCTTGTGGATTGTCCTATGTATGGACAAGTCAATCATTTATTAGTTATAATTGGCTTAAGTCAATCATTAAAGATACCCTAAAATGTCAATTCGAACAAGAATGGAGAAGCATTGTTTATAGTTCATCCAAGTGTATTAATTATAGAATTTTTAAAACAGATTTTGGTTTAGAAAATTATCTGATGAATTTACCAAAAGATTTAAGAGTTACATTTACAAAACTTCGAACTTGTAATCACCATTTGCCAATTGAAAAGGGTAGATGGCATAATATTGACAGAAATTTAAGAATATGTACTATGTGTGATTTTAAAACTGTTGGTGATGAATATCACTATATTATGGAATGTAAGTACTTTTCAAAAGACAGAGAAATATTTTTCCCAAACAGATTTTGTAATAATCCCAACACTTTCAAATTCAATGAACCAATGAGTAGTAATAATGTAGAGATACAAAAATCATTATCACTATTTATAAAGAAAATTTTTAAAACTGTCTGTCCTTCTTGATTCCTCCGTGTGTTTTTTATAGATGACTACAGTCATTTTTTTTCACTCTTTTCGAGTTTCTTTATATTCAATGTACTTGTCTATCTCTTGACCCTTGACTGTAATATTTTTTTGCTTGTATATATGTATATATGTACCTCTTGTACCAGTGATCTGGTTTTGAGCGAATAAAGAATTGAATTGAATTGAAAATTTATTATGTTTAATTCGTCTAAAACAAATGGATATCTGAAATTATGTTTACTGTGTATACACGGACAGCTAATCTCACTGGGATTAATTAAGTAATTGATCTATTGACAGGTGTGTAGTATTATGTCATATTACATAATCAGGTACATCACAATCAGTGATCGAAATTACGCACGTGCGCTATACAAACATTGACATGGGTATCCTGGGATAATGAACTACATTTGATTCAATAGAAATAGTAAAATTTGACAATTTTACTATATAATTTTTTTTTTAAGTTGTTGAATGGGTTGAATACACCTACATCGTTTTATGAAACAATTGCTACTTTGGAAAGGTTTGCTAATTTACAAGAGAAATGTTCCGTACAATGTTTGACCTGACTGACTATGTATCTAATCAAGTAACAGAATAAAAAAATCATTAATAGAAATAGTAATATTTACATGGCCTTAACGAAGTACAAAGTTTAAAACCTTTTTTTCATTTTATGACTGCATTTGTCTTTTGAAATTCTTATATCGCGGTCGTAAATTATATCACGGAAATTTGGTGTATCGGTAACCCCTCTCTCGTTTTGTTTGGTAAAACGTTAACTTTATGGTCTTTAAAAGTAAATATATAGAATAAAAGATAAATTTACTCAATGAATAATGGCAGGTTTATATATTTTAACGCTACGCCTATTTTCTCCCAGCAAGCGTCTGCAGACGAATAAATGTTACAACCTGGTTCACAATGCAAAAAGTTGGAAGAAAAGGAAGAAAGAAGAAAGTCAATTTTTTTTTCTTTTATCATAGTTATCATTTGTCATCTAATTTTCTCCGAGAAATATCATAAGACATTATTATTTCTTAGATTTTAAACATTGTAGACTTCACTTCTTAGGTCATCACCAAATACGAGTTATCGCCCTTTGAAGTACGATACGCTTCGAGCACCAATCTCCCATGCAGAGTTGTCGTTCGTTCCTCACTCAAACAGGTAGAGAGTGTTCGAGCACAAAACATGAAAATAATTAATTTTACCGTCAGTTATGCTTTACTGAAAAAAAATAAGCATTAATTTTTATGAAAAACATCATGTAAAAACATATTTAAGGACATTTCGGTGGTTTTGTTGGGCATTTCGGTGATTTTTAGGGGCATTTCGGTGATTACGGGGCATTCCGGTGATTCGTGTTACCCGGGTTTGCCTAGCCTACCCATTACCAACACTCTCATATACCATTTCATGTACGAGTTAATGAAAACTGATGCTCAAAACGAAAGTAGAACGTGATCCCGAAGAAAATTTTGTCCTTGTAGTTTGTAAGGTAAAATAGCGAAAAGTCTTTGCTTGACCCTTAGTTTGTAAATTTATAAGTACTTATTGATATATTTATTATTGATATATTTATAATCCAAGAGCCAAAAACCTATTCAAAAATGTTTACTTCAGAACTGTAGGCCTATACAGAAAGTCAGAAACGCTACAGTCATTACCATGATTACAGGCACAGACATAGGCGCTTGGTTACAGGATGGTGCATTTTACATATGTTATGTTTAACTAGGTGTATCATTAGAATAAAAATAATAATAAAAAAATGTGTTAATTTTAACGAATTTTTATTTTTAATTTAATGAGTATCTTCAGAGATGCGTCTTTTTCTGCACAGTTGTTATCAAATTTCTAAAACTTGGGGCTATACAACAATTAATTTGTGATGAAACAGTAATATCAAAGAACAGTCCTGGTTAAAGCTGAACACGACTCGTAAATAGGCACACGCCATTTTCGATATCATTATCTACAATACCACAAGATTAGGATGTACTCTCCACATTCATTACACCTGACTGCTTTATTGTCACGGGTATCGGCATGGAATGGCAACCTGTGTTCCTGCCATCTTGCATTGCCTTCGTTTACATTTTATTGCAGTTAATATGTGTATTTGTGTTTCTTTGTTAATACTGCACTGACCTGTACAACTATAATTGTAAGATTCTTTAGTATCTTACTTTCCTGCATTAAACGAAGTATCAGTTATATTTTTGTCGCTACCAAGAACTGTATGTGCAGTATTGTTACGGCTGAAAAAAGGGGGCAGGGCCTAATTTAGTTTTACACGGGAAAAGTTTACAATGTTGTCACACAATAATATGACTTTTATGTATTCCTCATAATACCTGAAAGTGAAATAATTTGCAACTTTAAACTTTAAATTGTATTAGCATAATAAACAACAACTAGGAGACTTATTGTTCACAGAACAATAAGAGGTCTTTCCACCTTCTTTGACTTTCAAATTTGTTTTATATCTGACTCCTAAAAATTAAATTCCATGAAAAAGATACCAAAAATCTCTTAAAGCAAAGAAAAAATGAAAAAAAAAGAATGACCTTGACCTTTGACCTTGAAAAAATATTCAAGGTCATATGTCAAGGGTCAAAATGTATTTGACCCCATGCTTCTACGACATATATTTTTCAAATTATAAGTTTTAATAGTAAGTACAAAGAAGTTTAAGGGCAATAACTCATATAAGGGGTCATCAGATCCTTTTGCACTTATACAGTGAAGTTAGAACTAAAGACCCTTAAGACATTAGTGATGGTTTGGTGTCTGTACGGTCTACGGTTTTGGAGGAGTAGCGATAACAAGGTTTTTCGCACAAGGGGCAATAACTTTTAAAAGGGTTAATATTAGGGGACAAGAGTGAAATCTTTGAAACAGTTTTAAGAATACAAATTAATGATGCATAGACATTAAGTATATGTTAAAAGACAAAAGAGATATAAAAAGAGCTAAATTTTCCATTTTTGGAATGACCTTGAACTTTGACCTTTACATTAATTGAAGGTCAAAGATCAATTAATCTTATGCAGTTGGTCCCATGTCTCTACGACTTGTCATTTTGAAAATTTTTAATTATTTGTAATATTCAAAAAGTTTCAGGGGCATTAATTCATTGAAGGGGTCACTGAATACTTTCGCAATGAATAGATTGAAGAGTCCCCTTGTTAGTCAAAGACATTTGTAAAGGTTTCATACCTCTACGGTTTACGGTTTAGTAGCGATAACAAGGGTTTTTAGCACAAGGGGCAACAACTTTTAAAAGGGTCAATCTCAGGGGCCAAGATTTATATCTTCTAAAGAGTTTCAAAAGTACATATTAAAGACATAAGATAGATCGTTTATGTTTAAGGACATAAGAGCTATTAAGAGAAATTTATTTCTCATATTTGGAATGACCTTGACCTTTGACCTTGAAATGAATTTAAAGACAAAAGGTCATTGTATGTTATGCAGTTGGTTTCATGTCTCTACGACTTTTCGTTTTGAAAATTTTGAATTTTTTGTAAAATTTATAAACTTTCAGGGGCAATTACTCATTGAAGGGGTCAAAGAAAACTTTCACAATGAATAGATTGAAAAGTCTCCTAAATTAGTTCAAGACAATGATGAAGGTTTTGTATCTCTACGGTTTACCGTTTCTGAGGAGTAGCGATAACAAGCTTAATGGTGAAAGGGCCAATAACTGCGTAAGGAGTCGAAGTTCAAATATACGGGGTCGTTTTTCGGAATAACTTTATATATCCAGTATCATGAACTAAAAAGTTTTTGGATAAGTCTTACGGTCTCAAAAGCTAAGGGGAGAAATAAAATAAAAAGAAACAGAAGCATTTCAAGAGGTCTTTCCACAGAAAGGTGGAAAGACCTAATAAAACTTATCAACGCATTGAAAAAAGTTGCTAGATAAACTGACTTTTTTATTGTCACGGGTATCGCCATGGAATGGCAACCTGTGTTCCTGCTATCTTGCATTGCCTTCGTTTACATTTTATTGCAGTTAATATGTGTATTTGTGTTTGTATATCCTTTGTTTAGTGCGATTATTCATTAAGTATCAAGAGAATGTATTTTATTTTTTATGTCGTGTTTTTATGTACAGGTTACTGGGCTTGAAAAGTGCTGCTGCTTTCTTTAAATCAGGAGCGTGATTTAATAGGTACACAAAATATTTGGTAAAGGTCAAACATATTTCAACATTGGCCTATTTACTTGAAATTTTAACTATTAAAATGTGAATTCTATTCAAAGCAGCAGCACTTTTCAGAAAGACCAAAGTAATCAGAAACAAATAATAGTTTGAATTTGAATTTCAACTAGGGTATGCCCTTGCGATATTGAAATTTGTTAATGACCTACATTCAGTAAACGTACTATGCATTCATCACATGACTGTCCATCGATGGGACAAACTTCATATAGTACAAAGTCATTAAGTGGGTTATACTATGCTATTTACATAAGTATTTAAATTCAGTGATATAGAACAGCTTAATAAAAATAAATTCAATTTTTAAAAAAATCCCCGTTTTTGCATGTCTATTTTCCATTGATTTCTCATAGTAGGCCATAAAAGTGCTGTGTAGCATATGTCTGCTTGCACCGATGTCGACTGATTACAATGAAATGTGTCTAAGCCAAGCCCTATATAGGGCTGGGACGATACAACTTTTTCAATATCGATACGTATCACGATATTTGAGCCACAATACGATATGTATCACGATATGTTTAACTGCTTATAAAATCTTTTTTTGCATTAAAATAAACAAATTATTTCTTTGCAAATAAGAATAATTTATTTTAAAAAAAGTTCTTTATATATTGTAAAAAAAATATTTGACTCAACTAGTGTTAATTATTTCATATCTTTATTTATATTTAGCTTATTTGTTTTATGTATTAAAACCCAAAAGTTCAATAAACAAAGAAAAACATAAGTCAGACATTTTTGGCAACATTTTGATATTTCTTCATATGTATCGATATGCGTTATCATTTTCACAGATATCAAGATATATCAATATCTCGATATATCGTCCCAGCCCTAGCCCTATATATAGGGGTCTTCAGATGTAGCGAAGATCCAAACAAAATGGCAGACATATTCCTTTTACGAATCATGTTCAGCTTTAACATGAGAATGGACTGGTAATATAATCATACAGCACAATGTGAAGTAATCATACTTCCGTATGCCTCATCCCAAACAAAGTGGTGGACAGTTACTCAAACAGTAGAAATACATCTTTTGCTTAAAAGTGTTCAAATGCAGAAATATTCAAACTATCCCTATTTTGGATTGCCTTAAAGAGGCTGGGGGGTAGCAGCCATTTTCAGACTATTTTGATCTCCTTTAAAAGAAGAGCTCCATATAAAGATATACAAAAATGATCAAATTTTAAAACTAAAATGTATGAATTTTTTCTTTACCAAATGATAGTTGACAGCTTAAGATACCATATCTAAAAAATAAGTTAAATCTGGTGGTTAATTTGTGGTTAATTTATTGACCCCCCCAGCCTCCTTAATATCTGTAGTATAAATATTAGTGTTATATGCTTGAAATTTTTGTTCCTTTTTAAAATAAAATGCAAAATTGTGCAAAATTGCATTGAAATGGACAAATGGTTAAATAAAGCTACATGAGTTAGTAAGATAAAGCTATATCAGTAATTCTGGCTTGGTAGGTAAATGTACTGATTGTATTGGACCTGTGTATGTCAAGAGTACAACCCCTTGGCCTTGGAGAGAGTGCAGTTGTATATTATTAATTTTATAACTATATACCTATCCAAGCTGATTTTAACATAGATCCTGCCTCTTTAAACCGCCAGAGATTTGGAACATGTAGACTTAGATCTGGTTTATAAGATGATTTCTATAACTGAATTTCAAAAGAGCAAACTTTTAACAAAATAACATGTATGAAGGCTGTTTGCGACATTTACTTTTACTCCATAAAGGACAGAGATAAATTCATGAAAATTTGTCAACATTTTATAAAGAAAGAATAAAACAAATGTGCAAAATTTTTAATTTATAGGATAAATAGACAAAGTTCTAGTGAAAATATATGTCAATTGTGGGTTCAGAGGTTACTGCTGAAAAAGAAATCAACATGATCATGGGGATCAATGAGCTGAATATAAAATTTCATTTTACCCAGGCAGTACTTCAAGAGCTGTCTGCACCATTTTAAGTGGATACCTATTTACTTTTTGAATTAGATCCTCATCTTCAGATTTCTTGAGAAAATTGTAAGGTCTAGACCTTAATGTCATATGACATATCTCATGTTAGTAGAATTTTTATTACAAAGTCTGAAAAGTGCAAATTTTTAACAAAGAATATAGAAAATGATACATTTTAACTTTATGTTTGGCAGAGAACAGAAATCCTTCCCTGGTGTACATGGAAGCTGACACTCTAAAACAAGAACAAAGAACCATACTACGTGAGAGATTTCTCCGCATGTGTGCAGCCATTACAGGACAGTCCGCTAACATTTGTATGCATGAGAAGACCAGTGTACAGTGTGTATTAAGTCACATAGACATTGATGTCCAACACATACAAGTCAAGGATCTCCTAACTCCAATGGGAAAAATTCCTCAAGCTGTGCTCCGTCTAAGTGATGTCATTTCAATTCAAATTCCCGACCTTCAAAGCAAAGACTTCTAAAATATCTTGTACTTGTTAAGAGGTATTATTATATTATATATACATGTACTACTACTAGTATTCTAGATGAAATTGTGTTAAAATCTAATAAATTCTCTTTTAGCTTGTCCTATTAGATATTTTTTATTAAATGCCCTTCAAAAGGCAATGGAGCGTTAGGATGCCTGTTACAGAAAAAAAATGTGGCACATGTTTTCATTTTCATTACCTGCCTTTATCCACCTTAGACTTAACTTGTTGAATGTGATTAAATATGTGCTTGTTGCTTAGTACACTGTATGGCTGAGATAATGTATACATGTATATAAACTATAACTATATTATTTTTTATGCCTCATCTTTATCATCTCTATTTTAAGTCCTAAAAAGTTGTGGGAAGAAATTGTTTGAATAAATTTATAATATTGCAATTCATAGAAATTTACCAGATAGTGCATTTGTGCATACATATACATACACATGTCTATTTCATTTTCAGTTCACAGTTCAAAGCCTAAGTAAATAAAACATGTCTGAATTGAAGGAATTAAAGCGTCTGAGAGATGAAGAGAGGACTTTGATGAACATTGCTAGTAAATTAAGCGATCAGTTGAATCGGATGAAGGTGGAGGAGCTAGCTCTACTGAGTATGTTACACAAGGAGGGACTGCCAGACAAAAGTGAGGAGAACAAGGAGGAGGAGGGGGAGAGAGAAGAAGAGGAGGAGGACCAGGTGAGGAGGGGACAGGGGGCAAACTTCCTTAAGAGGGTTGGGTGGTCATGGCCATTTTTACACTATATTGAATACTGAGCTCCTTTAGAAGGAGAGCTCCACATAAAGATATACAAAAATGATCAAATTTTAAAACTAAATTGTATGAATTTTTTCTTTGCCAAATGATAGTTGACAGCTAAAGATATCATATCTAAAAAATAAGTTATATCTGATAGTTAATTTGTTGACCTCCCAGCCTCCTTAAGTTAGGACCTCAATTTTAGGAACTAGAGATAGCAAAGCAATTTCAACTACTGATAGGTTTTGATTTTTTATAATATAGGCATTAAAAAAATGTGTACAACATAATCAATAAATTTTTCCAAGACTAATACTTTTGTGTATCTTACAGCAACCATCAACTTCACAACCAGTGACAGAGGAGACAGAAGAGCTAGTTCCCTTAGATCTCTCTGTGCACAATCTACAGCAGGTGGAAAGAATGGAGGAAGAAGAAGAGGATTTTGAAGATGATGATCTCACAATGATGATGACACAGATAAATGGATGATGATTATGATGTTTAATGATGAAAAATGAAGCAACATTTCTCCTAAATCATTCTGCATACATGTATTTCATGTCTGGGGAGAATATTAAAAATGCTTAGGATACAGTTTGTTACAGCTTAGAAGAATAAGTAATTCTGAATGTCTATCTCTAAGACCCTGAGATGTGTTACAAAATGTACAATACATGTAATAATACCGTATTTTGTGTTCAGTAATTCTAAGACAAAATGAAACTTTACATTAATGAATGTGTTACTTTCAATTGATGACAAGTTCAAATTTTCTTTAAAACTACAGTGTACATGTTTTTTTATAGTAATATTAAAGGTTAAAAAGTTGAAATTCTCTTTTGCTGAAACTAATAAAACCAGTTAAGGTCCCAACTTACCAGGTACAGTAAAACTCGGTTATAACAAAGTCTCTAGGACCTGTGGAATTACTTTGCTATATCCATAATTTGTTATATCCATATAAGGAATTCGTTATAAATTTTATAGCTGGGGTATTCAAGATAACTTCGTTATATCCATGAATTCGCAATATCCATGTTCATACTAAACGAGTTTCACTGTATATACAATATATATGAATACATACACCTGAAAATCAATATGGCCCATGGACCTTGACTATCTAGCTGCAGAACTGTAGCGTTATGGTTTTATATATTAGTATTTCACCATAAGGCTACAGATCCCGTAATGCAAAAAATGTGCAATTTACGGCGCAAGATTTTTTGCGCAGTTTGGAAAAATTTCTCCACTTTCCAACTTTGGTAAATCATCTATTTTTCACCCCCTAATTTCAGACACATTTTTAAACCAATTTGTAGATTTTATCCTCCTCTCAACACTTTATGACGACCCTACAGGCGATAAACTGGCTTGATTTGAATAGTCTGAGGGATTGTAGAAAATTCTAATTCAAGCCAGTTTATCGCTTGTAGAGACGACTATGAAGGGTTGGGAGGTGTATAAAATGTGTCTAGAATTATGGAGGGAAAGGTAGATAATTTACCAATGTTGGAAGGTGGAGAAATTCTCCCAAACAGTGCACAAAAAATCTTGGGACGAAAATTGCACATTTTTTGCATTACGGGATCTGTAGCGTTATGGTCAAAGACTAATACCCGGTATATAAAACCACAACGCTACAGATCTAAGCTGATATGTATCAGGAGCGGCCACTTTAGCCCACCTGGAATGGTTATTATGATTTGTCTCCTAAAAAGATCAGGGGTAATAAAAAAAGGTGCAATGTAAGTTAAATTCAATTAATGACCAAATTAGAACCACCCCCCTCCCCTGCTGTATTTTTTTTAATTACATGTATTATACTTACTTGTGTATTAAATTATTAAGCAACATAATTTCCTTGAACCCTCTGTCCTTGTTATAGAAATTTGAAACTCTCGTAAGTTAGTAAAAAGAGTCATTCATATTGAGGAGAACAGCTTATATAGATTGGGGGGGGGGGGGCTTATTGCTTACTTGTCGAAGAATTCTTTGATAAATTTTTTTAGTATGTACAGTATATCCCACTTTGCATCCTCAACCCTGGAAAATTCATCGTTTCTATTCCATATATGTATAACTTGAAACAAAAATTAAGTTACTCTTCCATTCACGAAAACTTGCACCTAGATTCCAAAGATGTATCCAATAAAATGACAAATAGAAAACAGAAATCTGCAGTGAATACAACATTTTCATGACATACATGGACTTAATGAGTTCCTCGATACAAAAATCTCCATATCTCGTAAAATTGAATTCTATTTAATTGCTCGTTTATTTTATATGTATACTTTTGGACTAAACAAAATGATTTAATTTTAGAATAAACCCATGCACTGGTCAATACGATTGCGTGGTACATGTTAATTTCCGTAAATGACAGATTATGTCGATATCATTATTTTATAAGTTTGACACATTACAACAAGACATCAACAAAGATAGTATTATTCCTATAAATGTTCCAGTAAATGTCCAAGGCCTTTGATCTAGTTTAACCAAATATTGCAGTAAATCACTATTGATAGTGCATTTATCTTAAATATAGGGCACTGACATAACCTAGTTTAACCGTAATATTCTACTAAATCACCGCCATTAGCTATATATATCAAACTGTAAAATTCATGTCGTTATGTATATTCACCATGTGGACTTAAAATGCGTCAAACTTCGGCGCTGCAAAAAGGAGAAAAAATGTACTTCATTTTTTAAAACTGCTATAAATATTGTGAACAAGAGGCCCAGGGGCCACAGCGCTCACCTGAGCACATCGGGCTTGAATTTAACCCCCCCCCCCCCCCCAGGCATTCATCATTTGAATCTACACTACCTGAGGATGATTCCATAAAAAAATCACTAATCATAGCTTTGAAGTACTTGAAAAGAAAATTTTTAAAGGTTTCCCTATATATCCCTATGTAAAACTTGGGTCGGCGATTTTGGCCCCACCCTAGCCCCGGGGGGTCATGATTTGAACAAACTTGAATCTACACTACCTGAGGATGATTCCACATGAATTTCAGCTTTCCTGGAGAAGAAGATTTTTAAAGATTTTTCCTATATATTCCTATGTTAAACTTCGGTCGGCTATTTTGGCCCCACCCTAGCCCCGGGGGTCATGATTTGAACAAATTTGAATCTACACTACCTGAGGATGATTCTACATGAGTTTCATCTAAATCTTTCCTGGCCCAGTGGTTCTGGAGAACAAGATTTTTAAAGATTTTTCCTATATATTCCTATGTAAAACTTTGGTCGGCCATTTTGGCCCCACCCTAGCCCCGGGGGTCATGATTTGAACAAACTTGAATCTACACTACCTGAGGATGATTCCACATGAGTTTCATCTTTCCTGGCCCAGTGGTTCTGGAGAAGAAGATTTTTAAAGATTTTTCCTATATATTCCTATGTAAAACTTGGGTCGGCCATTTTGGCCCCACCCTAGCCCCGGGGGTCATGATTTGAACAAACTTGAATCTACACTACCTGAGGATGATTCCACATGAGTTTCATCTTTCCTGGCCCAGTGGTTCTGGAGAAGAAGATTTTTAAAGATTTTTCCTATATATTCCTATGTAAAACTTGGGTCGGCCATTTTGGCCCCACCCTAGCCCCGGGGGTCATGATTTGAACAAACTTGAATCTACACTACCTGAGGATGATTCCACATGAGTTCCATCTTTCCTGGCCCAGTGGTTCTTAAGAAGAAAATTTTTTAAAAATCCATTAATTTTTCTCTAATTCATAATTATCTCCCCTTGGAAAAGGGCGTAGCCCTTTATTTGAACAAACTTGAATCCCCTTCACCCAAGGATACTTTGTGCCAAGTTTGATTGAAATTGGCCCAGCGGTTCTTGAGAAGAAGTCGAAAATGTGAAAAGTTTACGACGACGACAACAACGACAACGACTACAACGACGACAGACAACGGACAAATTTTGATCAGAAAAGCTCACTTGAGCCTTCGGCTCAGGTGAGCTAAAAATACTTCAATGATACCCCGTTTTCTATTTAAGCGAAAATTTATGAGCATCTGTTCATCATTATAATAAATCAGCTAATCCTCTGCAGAACTTACCTCTATAGCCATATTTTTACGTTTATCTATTTACACCGGTACATTGGTCTCAATAATGCGGATTTTTTTAGCTTGCGTGTTTCTGGGGGTTTTTTTTGGGGGGGGGGGCATTTAGATTGTTTGCTTGTAGCGGGGGTTAAATTCTGCCAATGTTTATATAAAAAAAACAGCTGTGATTTACATATATTTCCAAACAAGCAAATTGGTCCCCCCGCTTTCGGTGTCTCTGTGGGTGAGATGTCACTTTATGACGTCTTCTGCAAATACGAACGCCCTATCATATGCAATTGAGAAATTATTACCGAAATTGATTTTTTTTTTCAAATAAGGTCAATCGTGAAGGTCAAGAGGTCGGAAATCATAGCATGCTCGGAAATATCTTGTCATAGGTAATGCACATGTCAAATATGAACACCCTATCTCTTCTCAATCAAAAGTTATAAGGAAAAAAATAACAATTTGAAAAGTAGGTCAAACTTTAAGTTCAAGGTCACAAAGTAAGAAATCATAGCGTTTTTAGGAAGTCTCGAGTAATACACATTTTGATATGAAAGCCCTATCTCTTCTCATTCAAAAGTTATGACCCATTCAAAGTAATGTTTTTTTTTTTAAATGTAGGTCAAACTAGGAGGTCAAGGTTGCGGCGTCAAAAATCATAGTGTATTTGCAAAGGCCTATCACAGGTAATATACGTGTTTATTATGAAAGTCCTGTCTCTTCTCATTCAAAGATATGACAACGGTAAAGTTTTTGTAAAGTAAGTCAAACTTCAAGGTCAAGGTCATGAGGTCAAAAATCATAATGTAGTAAGGAAGGTCTGGTTACAGGTAATACACATTTTTAATATAAAGCCCTATCTCTTTTCATTAAAAAGTTTTGGCCAATTCAAAGTAATAATTAATTTTTTTAAAAATAGGTCAAACTTCAAGGTCACGGGGTGAAAAATCATAGATATGTAATATGAAAGTCCTGTCCCTTCTCATTCAAAAGATATGATCAAGGTTAAAGTTGTGAAATCAGAAGTTGGACGGTTATTCGCTATTCGCCATTCGAATGGCGAACCGCAGGCTGTCTGCCGTTCGCTATTCAAATTACCGTAAATGTCCTAATAATTTTTTTTTTCAAAAAACTTTAAAAACGCATCATAATCCGTGTTTAAGAAGAAAAGCAAAGACTTCACTTAAAGAAGAGGACTGAGGACCCCAAACCAATGCAGCTAGCCTGACCAAAATGATGACTATTTAGCTAGCCTGGTCAAAATTGGATAAAAAAAAACTGTTGAATACAATAAAAAGTATTTGTCATCTTCAAATTTTTACAGGGGAGGGGTATGGGAAAAAAAAGCTAGCCCGGAGAAAATTGGAAAAAAAAAAAAAAACGTATAATTCTATTATATGAATACAATAAATTGCCCTGGGGTCTGGCTAACATCGAAGATCCCATATTAACATCTTCATATTTTTACAGGGGAGGGGTATGGGAGGGACCCTTCCACTGTCAAAAGGAATTTATGTTACAAGACCGGGAACCCATTTAGCTAGCCCGGAGAAAATTGGAAAAAAACGTATAATTCTATTATATGTATTTCTGAATAAGAGTACATTGCCCTGGGGTCTGGCTAACATCGAAGATCCCATATTTAGACCTTCATATTTTTACAGGGGAGGGGTATGGGAGGGACCCTCCTACTGTCAAAGGGAATTTATGTTACAAGACCGGGAACCCATTTAGCTAGCCCGGATGAA